TAAAATATATCACATATTTTTGTTATTTTTCTACCAAAACTTTATTTATTATTAGGTAAGCTAATCAAAATTACATTATGTTATCGCCTTAAATACAATCTAATGTTCCTCAAAATTACGTGAACATTATTTGTTATCTAGTTTTTATTGCAAAAGTATAATCAGGTAGTCTGTCTAATTATTAAAAAGTTTAAATAGTATTAATCTTTTTAAATGAGATGTAATATTTATTATTTAATCTAACCGAAAATAAGTGTTTTCTAAATATTATTTTTAATAATTTTGTTTTGGTTGGGTTGGATCCAGTCCTTGATCTTTTGAAATATATTATTTATATATAACTAAATATTGTTTAATATAATTATAGTTTACTATTAATACTTTTATACATCTGATTGGTTGAATTATTTATTTGAACTAATTATATATTTATGATGTTTTACTATTTTTTGGCAGTTATTATTATTTGTTTTTTAAATATGGAAATATGACCCCGTCTTTGTTTAAAAATGCATTTTGAAGTCAACGTGCTAAATATAAATATTTACAGTTATTAAACTGCTAGAAGTATATTATATAAAATCTAAACCTTTTTTAATAGCTCATAGTGATTGAACTTTAATGATTCGTTTATTTATAATTTTGTGTTATGTTTACCATAATGACATTTATTATTATGAAGGATACGAGTTAATGGATGATGTAGGAATGCCTAATATCTCAATTAATCATTGAAGTATTTAGGCTCTAAACAAACTTTTAGCATTTTGCTGTGTTTAGATGTATTTGAGTCGCACACTATATCGTAAGTTTTTTAATATTGCTTGTTATCTTTTTTCTTTGAAATACAAACAGTGGTAATATGAGATAATAAAAAATTGTGAAAACGCTTTTTGGACCATCAGCAGAGATGTATACTACATGTCGCTTCTTGTCCATAAAAGTATATTTTTGCAGCAATATAATCGGGATTACCTCCTAATGTAACTCTTTGAATAAGAAAAATTCATTCGCTATGAATATAGAAGGTTCCTAAACAAACATTTCATAAAAGCCACCATCGCAGTTTTCGAAAATAGTACACCGATCGATGACAGCCTTATGAATGTCGTTTCAAAATACTATGAATTTCCATCGTTTGAAAAATAACTTACAGCAGATGTACTCATTCAACACACTTTAATAGTTTAATAAGGATTTGGTTACACCTTAGTGTTAGATAAAACACGTGAACAGATTTTACTTTATTTTTCCAGCACGTTTGACCGGCTTTTTTTATTCAAATCGTTTTTCATCCCTTTTAATATTATTTTGCATATATATATACACGTATGTCCATAGATTGTAAGTAGAACTCAAAGTTTTAAAGACTGGTGTGTTCAACAATTGTTAACAGTGAAAAATCTGCTAATTTTGAAAACAATTACCGAACCGGCACCGTAATTAATCATAAGACAAATCCGCAATATCTTATATCGCCGTCACCTATGCGTTTTCAAAATAATATACGTTATTGTACTTTGCTGCTGGTTAAAACGGTTTGTTGAAACTGTCAAGCTGATCACATAACATAACGTATGTCATCCTAATTGGATTGTCTGCGCTGTACATAAACAATACTATGTGTATAAGAGTATATAATATCCAACATATACGTCTGGTTGACGTTTATCTATTACATACAATGCGATTTCGCAACGAGACGAGATTTTACAGGACAAAGTCAAATTTATCATGACTTTTAAGTGCTAAAAATCAATCTTTTTAACTTACTCGTCACTAGTGTACGCTTTTGACTTGGATTCTTTCCTTGAAAATTTAATAATAATGGGAGTAAACGTCAGATTACGAATTAATGTGAGGAAGACCGATAGGAATTTAACACAGTAACGCTGTCACATCGTGTTTTTTCCACCCGACTAATAGAAACAAAAACAATAAACAAAAATTAAAGAAATTGAATATTTAAAATGAACAGTTGCTATGAACTCTCGGTTTGGCCTTTTGTCCCTTCCAAGTTTGGTTGCCCGGGAAACGGCTACTGCCGCTATGACCTCGTGTGCAGCATGTATATTGTGCGTGTGAACAAGTGTATACCTGTTGATCGAAAAAAGTTTTTATTTTTATTTTTATAGTCATGTTTGTACCTAAACCAAGTAGGTAATGCAAAAAAAAAATAAAAANTTGTACCTAAACCAAGTAGGTAATGCAAAAAAAAAATAAAAATTGGCTGTTTTAAACGTGAAACGAAAAGTGGTCGGTAACCTCTATTAATCTTACATGGCTTAATAGATTACAGGGATTCCAATGAATATCGCGTCATGCAACTTTCCATCTGTAAGTACAAAGTTGTTCACGCTGTGTCTCAAAGAGGCTTTTACACATTTTTCTATCGGTTAATAAAATAATGCAATACGTTCGACATATATATATATATATATTTGCCCGGAAACCGTAATGTCTTGTTTATCCTTTTTAGACTTGAGATTTTATCAATTCTAAGAGGATTTTTTAGTCAAGTATTGCGAGTGTAGATATATGTTTTCTTTAGTTCTGATGTCTTTACCTTAGTCAGTATTTGACTGCTACATAAAAAAGGGATCCAATGAAAGCTGAGAAAAAATAGTAACAGATAAAAAAAAAATGAAAACAATAAACACATTATGGTAAAATTAAAACTTTCTTAGCTCTGCATCGAAATAAAAAAAAAAATAATTCTCAATTTGACTAAAAATATCAGACACGTTAAAAATGTTTTTGAATCTCTCAAGTGGTATGAAAGCAATATATTCTATTTTACTTTGCTGTGAAATTCANTTTGACTAAAAATATCAGACACGTTAAAAATGTTTTTGAATCTCTCAAGTGGTATGAAAGCAATATATTCTATTTTACTTTGCCGTGAAATTGAAAAGGTAAATGATATATTTTATTATTATGATCGCGATATTTATTCATTACTTTAAGATGCTTTAGTCTTTTTTTTTCTAGACGACCCTTTTACATTGCTGGGACTTAAATAATCTTCAAAACTAAAAATAGGCAAAAAAAAGAAAATTAACAAATATACAAAAATATATAAATGACTAAAAACTTGTTATAGATTCTAGTTTAGTCAATCCTATGGATTTTTAAATTTAACTATGTATAGTATTGACTTGTGAATTTTAGGTATAAACCGTTTGTTTTGTAAAATAATAACTAAAGATTTCCTACGGAATATATTTTAAAATACTGATTGTAGATTATAAAATTAATACTCATTTTTTTACAATCAGGAATTATACAAATAAACAATATATAATAGTTTTCAAATAACCCGATATTATGAAATACATGAATATCTAATTGCAGAAAGAGGAGAACTCGTAATTAAAAATAATGAATCAGAATTAAAACTTGTTTTAATTTTTGATGAAAGACTAAAAACTAAATGTCTTATGATAAATAATACTAAATATTTCAAAATTTACGTCTCAAATTTAATTCAATGACTTGAATATTTTTTATTTAATTTAGAAGATAAAATATTGTTAATATATCTTTAATCAATAAATGTAATTCATGAACTTATCTTTTTTTTTATAGGAAACATTGTATGGTAATTTTTATATTATTATAAAATTAGGAAACATTATAAACATTAATTCTAATTATACACCATGTTATACTAAGTATAAAAATTCTGTGAACTTTTCATTTATTTATATCTTAGAATTAAAAGAGATAATCTAAACATAATAATTACTATTATATATCCTAATATGGATTGACTGCAAAAAGAGTTCATGTCCAGTATTATTATTCATTCTTGAAGTAGAAAATAACATTTAAAACTATTTTTCACGTTTGAATGGTAATACTAACCTGTATTTACTACTGATAAATATAAAGTGATTAAGCTATTTTTTATTAGAATAAATTTGATCTAATTTTTTAGTTAGATGTTCACATAACTCAAAATTGGCATTATAAAATTAGACTAAATATAAAAAAACACCTAAATCATCTTTCATAAACTGCGTTTAAGCTCTTGTTACTTATCGATAAGTATTGTATAAATAAGTAGTAGATATTGTTGATTACTTCCAACAACTTGTTGCCGACATAATATAAGGTTTTTGTGGTTAGAAAAAAATATATATAGTTATATATATATATATATAGTGTTGCCTTTAAGTTTTGATTAAAATATTGTAACATTATACTAATAAAATTGACAAGTTTGTATTTATATTAAAAAT